ATACTGAACTACAGGTTTTATAATTCCTAATCAGCAGAAGAGTTGGAAATTAGCTGTTTCCCATTCTACAATTCAGAATTTCTCTCAATGGGTTGACACAATGGAAGTAGCTAACTGGCCAAGTCTACAGTATTAACATGCAGTGTGTTTGGAGCCAAGTTCTAGAATGGTGCCACAGTTCTTGGTTACTATGGAGACTAATCTGTGAAAACACATGAATACAAAATAAAATGTTAAACTGGGACCCCAAGCATGAATTTCCTTACTCTTTTATCTCTCTTTTTTGCTCTTTTTGTATAAAGTACCCATGGAGATAGAGGAATGTCTTCTGGGTGTAACTCTGAGAAAAAGTCTACCAAGACTCCATTTAAAAACAAACTTGATGAAATTTCTTTGCTCCTACTACAGCCAAACAATCAGCAATAGCCTTTGATAAAAATGAAGACAAATTTGTCATAAAAGCCATTAAGGTAGCTCCATCTTAATAAGGAGATTAAAATGCAATACAATACAATACAAATATATTACATGTGTGTATGTGTCTCTCTGTTTTTCTGTGTGTCTATTCTTCCATTTGGCTGTGTCCACTTCTCAGAGACTGCTGAACAAGTTCCTGCAGTTTTCTTGGCAAGGTTTTTCAGAAGTGGTTTGGCATTGCCTTTTTCCTTGGGCTGACAGAAAGTGACAAGCCCAAGATCACCCAGCTAGTTTTGTACCTAAGGTAGAACTAGAATTCACAGTTTCACAGTTTCCCAGTTTCTAACCTGATGCCTGAACCACTACACTGAACTGGCTCTCAAGGATTATATGGCAGTTGCTAAATCTAGTTAATCATGATGCTCTTTGTTCTTGCATCTGTTACTGTCAGGCAGAAAAATCACATAATCTCAGCACATTTATAGAAGGTTCCTAGGGCGTTCCTGGACTGAAGTGATTGAGTTCCCAAAACATGTTTAATGTTGCTATTAAATTAACCCATTTTAAAGGTTTGTGCAATAAACTAATCCAATCAGTTGCATTTGTGCAAGACATTAAGCTTCCAAAAGGAATCAAGTTTATCCTTCTATGTAAATTACAAATATAATTGCTAGGATTTTACTGAATGTTCACACAACTGAATTGTGTGACTTGAACGTAGCCGCCAAGTTAAAAGGAAGACCAAGCAAACTGGAATATCAGTAGTTCACTCTGCAGAATTCTTGATGATGCTATAAATGAAGGCCAACGGATAGGCCCAAAGGTTTGGAGTGAATTAGATTTAGTAATCATCATTGAATTATAACTGGAAGCTTTTTCATGTACCCCTGAATGAATATAAAAACACCAGTTCATATACAGACAGGTTTGAGATAATCAAAAGACCCATTTATTTTTGATTCTAGGATAGACAGGAATGCTCCCTACTGAATCCTCTCTCCCTGATGGAAAGATTGGTACAAGGTTACCCATGCAATGAGTAAAGTTTTTGCAAGCATTATGTAGGTCATACTTCAATCACCTCTCTCAACCCAAAACTCCATTCCCATTCACTGATGGGGCTTGCTGGTTGAGCTTTACTATTCATGTCATGCAACATTGAGGTAGCTTAAACCCTCCTCCTTATCACTCCCAAAGGCTCCCCCAATAACAACTCTTGAAAATTTGTGCCAGAACATGCATTCAAAATGGTGAGGTAACCTTAAAACACCCCCCACAACTCAATAATGACAAGAAAATCTCAGGTGTGCCGATGTGTATGATGTGGCATCAATCGCTTTGCATCATTACCTTGCCCACATCAGCTTTGCCACATCAGATTAACTTCAGCCTCCCTCTTTCAAAAGATTTCCTACTCCCATTAAGATTGCTGCTGAGCAAGATGGGAGTCTTAACACGCCTGAAGGGCACCAAGTGAGAGAAACTTTTCTTAAAGTTCCATGCAACGTAAAGGAATGTCAAACAAGATGAGTAAATTCTTAGTTTTCTTCCAGTTTCCATCCACAATAAGAATAAAGGTCAAACTACTGTATAGTTTTCTATTGCTATATTGGTGATGCTTTAATAGAAGGGGGGTTATTTTGCCCAAGAGGTTCAGGGCCCTTGGTCTAATAGTCCTATGAATTAGGAGTAAAGCCACTACTGAAGCTTGCATATATTTGAGTAAATGGAGATGTAAACATACTGGGCCAACCTATTACTTTTTCTTATGCTGCTGAGCTTATAATAGGATTTCCTGTGCCAGTGACTGGTTGTTTTTGCGTAAGAGGCCCCATTTTAGCAGCATCTCTCTCAGATGTCTCAGTCAGTACATAATTAATAGGGAGGTTAACACCCCAATGAAATATTTAGATAACAGGGCTGATAGAGTGACTTTAGTTCCAAATGAACTCAAGAGTTGTTTAGGGCTCAGGTTAACTCCCTAGGGTTAATTGTCTGGAGTAGCTAGATTATGGAGTTCATACCTTCCCGATTACACAGTTCAGACTGTTGTACAAACAGAATCAATAATGCAGATGAGCTCCCATACATCAGCATTTAGAGTTTGGTCCTATAAATCAGAAAGGTGCAAACTGGCTGTGCTTGTGGGCAATCTGAAGGGGCAAATGTGGCCTTAAAAGAGATTTTCAAATTCGTCCAAAATTCCACCCCCACCCCCCCATCTATGCTCAACTCTTCCACTCCCGACTTCAGATGCTACAGGGCTGCACACATGCTCCACCTGTCAAGTCTCAAATTTAGTTGTGGTTTTCCATTAATATCCTCAATAGCACGTCCTGCTTCTCTGTCCTATTTCCCATCCCATAAGCTGTTCCCATTTCCTTTCTGTTCCAGCCACACCCTTCATCGTGCCTGAGCTTCATATTACCCCTTTTTTTGCTTTTTCCTTGAATTGATCTGTCTTGTTTTTTTTTTCATTTCTATGTGAGCACTCTACCTTTTTTCAGTTAACCTGAAAATGTTCCTTTGTGGGGCGGGCAGGGATGTGTATTTCAGAGAGAGAGAGAGAGAGAGAGAGAGAGAGAGAGAGAAGGAAGGAGGGAGAGAGAGAGAGACAGAAAAGCATCCAGGGAAACTCAGTTCACTCTCTAGTCGAGTACTTTTTCATTGGATAGCAGAAATTGCTTCATTATTTATTGGTTGATTGGATTACAAATTGGATCCTGTTTGTAGTGGATTTGTGACTTTTTCAGTGGCAGACTAGCTGACTGATAAAGAATGGATAGACTAATAAATAAATAATAGTAAAGTAATGGAAGATTTGGCTATGCCTGTAGCAACCTTCTGGCTTTCTCAATACCTGGAGTTTGCAGCTTCATGATCATCGGGGAGGGGGAAGTGCCAGAAATCACTAGTTGAAGGGTAGATTGTCCACTTAGGTAGCAACACTGATTGACAATCAATTTCACATGCTGTTGTGCAAATGGAATAGACAACAGGTGGAAAGCATAGGCAGTTAGCAAGACATCCCCAATAAAGGAGTGGTTCTGCAGGTGGTAACCACAGACCACTTCTCAGTCCCTATGCTCTCTGGCTGATGGTTTGATCAATTTTGAATGCTGGCAGTGCTTTCACTCTAGTGATAGCATGAGACGGAGTCTACAACCCACACAAGTGGCTCAGGTAGTGCAGCTCATCCAGGATGGCACATCAATGTGAGCTGTGGCAAAAAGGTTTGCTGTGTCTGTCAGCGTAGTGTCCAGAGCATGGAGGCACTACCAGGAGACAGGCCAGTACATCAGGAGACGTGGAGGAGGCCGTAGGAGGGCAACAACCCAGCATCAGGACCGCTACCTCCGCCTTTGTGCAAGGAGGGACAGGAGGAGCACTGCCAGGGCCCTGCAAAATGACCTCCAGCGGACCACAAATGTGCATGTGGCTGCTCAAACGGTCAGAAATAGACTCCATGAGGGTGGCATGAGGGCCCGACATCCACAGGTGGGGGTTGTGCTTACAGCCCAACACCGTGCAGGATGTTTGGCATTTGCCAGAGAACACCAAGATTGGCAAATTCGCCACTGGCGCCCTGTGCTCTTCACAGATGAAAGCAGGTTCACACTGAGCACATGTGACAGACGTGACAGGGTCTGGAGACACCATGGAGAACATTCTGCTGCCTGCAACATCCTCCAACATGACCGGTTTGGCAGTGGGTCAGTAAAGGTGTGGGTGGCATTTCTTTAGGGAGCTGCACAGCCCTCCATGTGCTCGCCAGAGATAGCCTGACTGCCATTAGGTACCGAGATGAGATCCTCAGACCCCTTGTGAGACCATATGCTGCTGCAGTTGGCCCTGAGTTCCTCCTAATGCATGACAATGCTAGACCTCATGTGGCTGGAGTGTGTCAGCAGTTCCTGCAAGACGAAGGCATTGATGCTATGGACTGGCCCGCCCATTGCCCAGACCTGAATCCAATTGAGCACATCTGGGACATCATGTCTCGCTCCATCCACCAATGCCACATTGCATCACAGACTGTCCAGGAGTTGGGGGATGCTTTAGTCCAGGTGTGGGAGGAGACACCTCAGGAGACCATCCACCACCTCATCAGGAGCATGCCCAGGCATTGTAGGGAGGTCATACAGGCACGTAGAGGCCACACACACTGAGCCTCATTTTGACTTGTTTTAAGGACATTACATCAAAGTTGGATCAGCCTGCAGTGTTTTTTTCCACTTTAATTTTGAGTGTAACTCCAAATCCAGACCTCCATGGGTTGCTAAATTTGATTTCCATTGATCATTTTTGTGTGATTTTTGTTGTCAGCACATTCAACTATGTAATGAACCAAGTATTTAATAAGAATATTTCATTCATTCAGATCTAGGATGTCTTATTTTTGTGTTCCCTTTATTTTTTGGAGCAGTGTATATGTTTGCTGAGAAGAGGTCAACATCTTTTAGAGGAAAGCAGTTCTTGCAATCGGACAACTGCCTGCTCCCCAAACAATACGCATTGGGACGGGTCTACTCACCAGCGAGCGCAGCCCTTCATAGGAGGAGAGCGGGGTGGAGACGTAGTTGCTGCAGGACCGCCCCCCCTTCCCTCTGCACATTCGCTCCGAGCATTATGACGTCACGGCGTTCTTTAAAAAGCACCAGAGAAAACACTCGGCATTGAGAAAAATAAATGCCCTCCGATCTTGATTAAAAGCGGTAGCGGCGACCCGCAGATAGAGCGAGCTGTATAAAGCAAACGCGAAGAACTGCCCATAGAAGCCTCCTCGGCAAACATGGTGTCCCCGGTGACCGTGGTGAGTTCGGTGACGGTTGTTTTTGTTTTGTTTTGGCCAGAGTAAAAAAAAAAAGTCAGGACCAAAGATATTCAGATAGTATCACCAGACGGGAAGGAGATGCGAGATCTGCAAGGCGACTTTTATGATCCCCGCAGGAGTCTTTCGATAACAATAGATAAGAGTCGCTGTGCAGCAGTAAGACTGCCTCCTCCAGTATGTTTGCTGTGAATTAGACTCCGGGGTTTCTCTTCCTAGTGCGTTACTCGCTCTGTTTGCAGCCCTTTTCCTTCTTTCTTTCTTTCCTCCCCCCCCCCCCCCCCCGGCTTTGTAAGAAAGAAAATGTGGCATGCCAAGTGTTGCTTTTCTTAGCGCCCCTCCACCACCACCACTTACCAAAAGCCTCTGAAAGCTGGATTGGATGAAAACATTAAACATGTGACAAGAAAGCGTGACTTTGTTGATTTCATTCCTTGGATAGGCAACAGGGAAGATGTTTAAGGAGGAGGGCGGAACGGAGGGAGAAAGAGGTTCCAGAGTTCAATCTTCCCCCTTTAATGTCTGGCGTCGGAAGAGAATAAAATGCAGCGATATTTGGCGCTTTTGCTTGGGTCTGCCCTGAGGCTGGCCTATAGTAGAACGTGAGCCGGTCTACACATAGATTCTCGATCACGAGTTGATGCTGCTGCCTTGCCGAAGGAAGATCGGGGAATTCCTGTGGGGGAAAATCGGTCTCACCCTAAAGTTCTTTTTCTTACTTTCCTTTGTCCCCTCTCCTCCCAAAACACCAACCGTTAGATTGGCAATAATAAAACAAAAACGGGAGAGCGAGGGAAGTCAACAATTGCTCTTATGTGGACAGAGTAATGTAAATTAAATAGATTTAAAATGAGGATTTAAATGCAGGATGAGCCAGTTTGGCCTACTGATTAAGGAACCAGGAGGCTGTGAGTTCTAGGCATGAAAGCCAGCTCATAAGGTGAACTTTGGACCACTCTCCCTCAGTGCTACCCACCTCACAGGGTTGTTGTGGGAAAAATAAGAGGAGGAAGGAGTGTTAGGCATGTTCACTGTCTTGAATTTCTTATAAAGAAGGGAGGTAAAGAGGGAGATAAAAATCTAATAAATGTGTCCTCTGTAATAGATGCATGTACTAAAGGAAAACACTGGTCAGCTGGTATAAGTAATAAGGATTTAGAAAGACAGGAGATTTCAGACTTATGACAAGTTTGGGAAGGAGACTTGAAATCTTGTTCTCTGGTCAACTATGAAGCATCTTGGATTCTATTTTGCAGGACTATTAGAAGGATAATGTAGGCTTTCCTTAGGAAATCTTTTCCAGACTTCCTGCAGGAGCAGAATAATAAATGTGTGCCATTTTCTGTCAATTTAAATATGCAATGCACAGTTTGTTCACTTTTATCGCCAAATGGGGTAGAGAATTCTGAATGAACTAAGAGCAATAATAATATTTGTAAAGTTTTAAAAAGTTCCTTTGATTTGGATTAATTTATTTATATCTTGTTTTTCTGCTTTAAGGATTGTTCATATTAGCTAACAGAACTGAAAAAAGAGTCAATCTAAAAAGTTAAAAAAATTAATACTGTAATTAATACTGATGCCATTTAATAATTAAAAACTTGGTGAAAGAAAGGTGTTCTTATATAAATTAATTTATCCACAGAATGCTGAGATATGGGATCTAAAAGCCAAAAATCCCTCCATTCCATAGTTTGGAAGCAGCAAATGAGAAGCCCTCATGCCAGAAAAACAGACCTGTGATAGCAGAGGTATCTTCAGAAGAGACACTTCTGCAGATCCATCAGCTGGACAGGGTTGGTAACAAGAGAGAAATTCTTAGTCTCTAAGTGATTTAGGACATTAAAGTTTAATATCAGCAAATAAAATATGCCTGGGATACAATTGGCAGCCAGAACAGATTTTTCAGTATTGTAAAAACACCATTGGTCCTTATGCCTGTTAGCAATCTAGCTGCGTCCTATTGCATCAACTGTAGTTTCTGGCTGCTTTTCAAGTACAATCCCAGGTACCACATATAAATATTGCAACAGTAGAGATACTGCCTGGGAATTCAGTGATGAATTAGCTTTCCAAAACTGAGAATCTGCTGTTTTCAAGGAGAGTGTAATTCCATCTAAAACAAACTGAAGCTCAATTGCTGCATTCATTTTTCTAATTGTAACAGTTAACTGCAGTTGAGGAGACTGGAAAATAGAAAGAAAAATGTGACAAATTCTCTTTTCAACACATTATAAGGTTGATCTGTGGGATAGCAAGTAGGCTATGGGCATGAGATTTGAATGTGCTTGGAGCTGTCCTGCAAATTATGTATTGTTTTGCCTCCTATAAACTTCTAACTATTTGTTTTTGAGTACTGATAAGAACTGCAAAAGAACAAAAGTTAGTTTTCTCTCATGGAGAATTTCTCCCTTAAGACTGCATTATTGCAATCTGAGTGTACAACATTACTGTACATTTTGCTTTTATTATTTGTCAGGGAAAGGGTTCCATTGTGTAGAATAGGAATTATATTGTTATGTCTTGATTTGTCTGATTGATTATTGTCTACACTGATTGGCAACAGATTTCCAGGATTCCAACCAAAATCTTTTTCAGATTTACCTGGAGAGACTATAAAGAGACTCAGAATGAAACCTAGAAATATTGACATCAAAGCTCTGTTGATTTACATCCCTTTACTTCATCTGGGAAATATTTATGATCCTCAGGTAGTAGTGAAACTTGTTTCCCCATTTATATTGGGAACCGGGGAAATAAATGTATGTAGCAAGGATATTGTACACTGTTTTATTTTCACAGTACTGATTGATTTATTTTTCATCAGTCAGTGTAATACAATGTCTGTATTATTTACGCTAAGAACATTATTTTTCAGTGGGAAAACTAAAGTAGACAAGACTAAATCTTTATGTCTTGGTTAAAAGCCACAAGGAAGTTGTTAAATAGTGTGAAATTGTTAAATAGGCCTTCAAGTCAGTTTTTGACACCTGGTGACAAGTTGCTGACTAGTCTCTGCCGTTTTCTTGGCAAGGTTTTTCGGAAGTGATTTGCCATTGCCCACTTCTTACAGAGAGAGAGGGAGAGACTGACTTAAAGTTATCAAGCTGGCTTCCTGACAGAGGTGGGACTAGAACTCACTGTCCCACAGTTTTTAGTCTGGTACCTTAGACACTTTTCCAGATGGGTTCTCCTAATAAAACTAAAGAACTAAAGAAGGAAAAGTAAATGTATGCTTAATCCAGATTAGACAGATGTGTTCTGTTTACTCAAGAGGTAGACTGACGATTTAATGGAAAGGAGAGAGCTATAAATCTATGTGAAGCAGAATCAGTTGTTTGCTTTCAGTTATCAGCTAGTCAATGTCCTATCTCTTAGTCTACAAAGGTCTCTGTCACATCAAATTTAGTTTAGTTTACTTTATTGTTATTGCACTTCGTATAACGAAATCAAACACCATCTTCAGTGCACATCATGACCATGACCATGAAAATAAACACAAACACACATCCTTCACCCTTCACACATTGAACCAGATACCCCCGACACCACATCAACACTGCACTATACAGCAGAATTCAAAAGAGCTACTGCCCTGGTTGTTTTTCAGCCTGTTTGTCATTGTTTTTATTATTCTGTACCGTCTGCCAGATGGTAATAGTTCAAAAAAAAGGTTCCCAGGATGAGATGGATCTTTGAGAATGTTTTGAATTTTCTTAAGGCAGCGGGAGTTATAAAGCTCTTCCAAACAGGGGAGAGGGTAACCAATGATCTTCTGGGCAATGACATTAAACCTCTGGAGTGCTTTCCTATCTGCCACTGTGCAATTGGCAAACCATACAGAGGTGCAGTATGTTAAAATGCTCTCTATGGTGCAGCGGTAGAAGATCACCAGCAGTTTTTCATTCAGTTGTTGTTTCCTGAGAAGTCTCAGGTAGTATAATCTCTGCTGGACCCTTTTGATCAGGGCTGCAATGTGGGCACCCAAGTCAGGTCCTCTTCTAGGGTAACACCCAGAAACTTAAAACTGGCCACTTGCTCCACTCGGTCTCAAATAATCGAAGACTTGTCTTGGCTTCCTTCGATTATGTAATGTTGCTTAATGGATCTGGCAACCCACCTCTAAGCTCTGTTTTCAAGGTAAAAAAGTCACAACAGAATTCTTCAGATACTCGGACACTAGCTCTGAGTAGCTACCTGCCAAGTTGTCTTATTTCCAATGGCTGCTCTAGGAAGGAAGAGTAAAAGAGGGTAAAAGAAAGAAATACCGGGGGTCCTACTTAACACTATGCTTTTATATAGGGCATTTCCTCAGATCTTTAATGTATGGCATTATGACTATAGTAAATCTTCCATATAGTACATTTAGGGTTTTTTTTTAAATTAAAAAGGCAATATGTGAAGAAGCTACATAGGAAACACTGCATGAAAGTCATGCATCCTTTTCTCCTTGTTCAAATGAACATACTACTGTTTTTGCACAGTGGGAAAACATTTAGAGTCTCCTCATCACCATCCTACTTTTTGCAACAAGTACATTAACTGCTAGTTTGGTCTTGTGCTTAATGTGCAGGCATAGGAGTCTAGTCTAGTTTAGGCAGAGAAATCAAGTGGGTGAGAAGTGATATCTCAGTTTTAGGAAGAATCTAATAATAACAAAGCCATGTTTCAAAAATGTTGCCAAGCAAATTTCATGAAAGTCCCGTGTCCTATCCAGGTAATCATGAGACATCAGGATTGACATGTCACACAGGCATATAATTATGATAACATTACTATAACATGCCATTTTAAAAAAAATGCTTAGAAACTCAGAAAAATCATATTTCAAACAAACCTGTTAGAAATATCGCAAATACCACACTTTATTCATATGAAAAAGGGTTAATGAGGAATCATGCTTTGTAGGCACAGTTAGAATATCCTCCACTGAGATATTTCAGATAAAAACTGAAGAGACATTGAAGTATTTCTCATATACA